TGTCAGTATGTGATGGCACCTGGGAGTAGAGGGTCAGAGAGGGAATTTGTTGGAAGGGTGGAAAATTTTGTGGTTTAAGCTTTTGTTTTATTTTTCTCTTGGGTTATCAATCCAGTGGTCTTAGGTTTCCCAATACCATCCCTTCCTCTGGCCTTATCTTCTGTAATTACCTAAATGTAGTTACAAGATAGGAGCTACGCTCGTGGTGTCTCGTCTCCCAGCACTCTGTCATATAACGCTTTGATATTACTGACAGTTTTGGCCTCCACCACTCTCTCACCTAACTTGTTCCAACCGTCTACCACTCTGTTTACAAAAGTGAATTTTCTTATATTTCTCCAGCAGTTTTGTTTCATTAGTTTAAATCTATGACCTCTTGTTCTTGAAGTTCTGGGTCTCAGAAATTCTTCCCTATCAATTTTATCAATTCCTGTTACTATTTTGTACATAGTGATCATATCACCTCTTTTTCTTTTATCTTCTAGTTTTTGCATATTTAATGCCTCTAGCTTCTCCTCGTAGCTCTTGTCCTTCAGTTCTGGGAGCCACTTAGTGACATGTCTTTGCACCTTTTCCAGTTTATTGATGTGTTTCTTAAGATATGGGCACCATACAACCGCTGTATATTTCAGCTTTCGTATAACAAAAGTCGTGAACAATTTCTTTAGTATTTCTCCATCCATGTATTTAAAAGCAATTCTAAAGTTAGAAAGTGTAGCATAGGCTCCTCGCACAATGTTCTTAATGTAGTCCTCAGGTGACAGTTTTCTATCTAGAACCAACCCTAGATCTCTTTCTTTTTCAGAATTCTTTAAAGATTTCTCAAGTAATTTATAGATTGTGTGGGGTCTATGTTCTCCTATTCCATAACATGGCATTTATTCACATTAAATTCTATTTGCCAAGTAGTGCTCCATATACTTGTTTTGTCCAGGTCTTCTTGAAGGGCATGACAATCGTCTAAGTTTCATATCTTCCCTATTATCTTAGCATCATCAGCAAACATGTTCATATAATTCTGTATTCCATCTAGTAGATCGTTTATGTAGACAACAAACATTACCGGTGCAAGAACGGAATCCTGTGGTACTCCACTTGTGACATTCCTCCAATCCAATACATTGCCTCTGATTACTGCTCTCGTCCCTTGGTAGAAATAGTTCTACGTGTACCAAGCTACAAAGAAGTTGCTCTACTTTGCTAGGTATGCCTATTTAGTGGCTTCTTTCCTGAAGTCTTATCTTTCTCAGTCCATTTCTTTCCTTCCTGTACTTGCTTAGCCTGAAAATCTTATCTACAATGTTTTTAACCTGCCATTTACTGTACTTTTTCTTCAGGACCTCTTTAATATCTCTCCTTTTCTCTCCACTCCTCTGGTTTGGATCCTCGTTTCTTAATTTCTATTACTACTATTGCTCATTCTCCTTTCTAGTATCTAGTTTGTGCTTTCTGCAAAATGACTGCTTGCATTGCCATTTTCTACTTTGCTAATATTACATTAGCTAAATTAGCTAATACATTAGCTAATATTACATTTGTTAAATTCCTGCAAATGAGCTCTGCTTTACAAGAACCCCATACAATATTTAATTTCAAGGTACTAAGGGTTTGGTTGTTTTGATGGGCCTGAAATGGGTTTTCTTTTAGATTCTCTATGTCCTCATTTGCTGATTTCGACTCACTCTTGAGGTCACTTTTTTTTGTTTCCTTCATTTCTTTCAGTTCATCCGTTATCATTAAAATCCTGATATTTTCCCTTACTTTTACACCGGTTCTATTTGTAATACTTCCTCTGGCTTATTCAAATTTCATCTCTGATGCCCTCTCTCTTCCCTCCCTATGCATGCTGTTGACTCGTTTGTGTTTTTCTGTTATTACATTAGGCGGTTAAAAATATGGATGACAAGATGATAGTGGAAAAAAAAAGAGGGGGTTTAGGGATGTCAGAGATGTCAGGTGCGTATATTAGGTTGTGTGTGTGTACTATATGTGTATTTGCACACACATTTGGCAATGTGTGTGTGTGTGCCCAACACCACATGTTGATGTGCATGTATGAGCACACCATGTGTGTGAGTGCATACATGTACCTGTGTGAATTACTTTTCCTGACTGCACTTGCAAGCAAGATCACCAATGTATGTCTATGTGTGTGTGTGTGTGTGTGTGCACATGTATGTGTAACACCATGTGCATGCATGTGTTCAATATGACGTATATGTGAATGATTATATGGTACTGGTGGGATGTTCTGATCATTGTTATCAGTTAATTTCCCAATGTCTCTAAGGTAATGGCAGTGTTCATGTAGTGGTGCAAGTAGAGATACCATGCTAGTGCAGCCCATCCTCCTGTTTTGGTAGTACTGATAGTAATGATGACCATATTATATAAACTGACGTACTGTACAACGCAATTAGAAGGTATTAATTGATACTATTGCATTTGGCCAAACTGGAAAATATTTTATATTTATGCTGCAAAGACAAACTAAAATAACCTAACCTTCCAAGGCCTAATACACAATATCTGAGGTCTAATATAGTACATGTGTGTGTTATACTAGGCCTAGGAATATTTGTATTTTAGCTTATTTTTTCAGACTAGGAAGTGAATAGGACCAAATTCTACTAATTGCTTAGTACATCATGCAATATGATGCTTTCCAGTATGGTGCACATAGTTACAAAAACTATTATCTAAATAGAAGGATGGGTTCACTAGTAATAGCCAACTCCTTCCTCTGAGCTACCTATGTGATGAGGGAGTGAATGAGCCATACTCAACAAGGTTACTAGATGCTGCATATACCTGCGTGGCTTGTAAGAAGGGTTGTATAATGCATGGCACATTCACAATAGCTGCACTAAAGTGCACAGCTCTCTTCAGGAGAGAAGGGAAGGGAATTATCAAGGGAAAAGCACCAGTCATTATGACTATATAGCACTTGGAAAAGGTCAGGATAAGAATTTGGGATGGGGAATAGGGATTTTGGAATGGGGTGTGATTTCTGGTGACAGAATGGATCATTGATTAAAACTGCTATGGCTACATGGTTGTGGCCTCAGAGGCATACATGTTAGTAGATGACAACACGAGTCATCTGCCAATTAAGAGTTTAGTGATAAACAATTGCTACTGGTCTTAACACTGCCTTGCTGTCCATATGTGTCAGAGGGAGCAAAGAGGTACAGAGATGGTGGATCATTCCATCCTTCACCTCATTTATATTTACCTAAATTTATTACTCTCTCATTTTAAATTCATCATCTTGTTCTCTCACCACTGGCGATTGGACTGGCCTGCGAGGACTGTCGTCACTAACAGTACTATCTGGAATAGAAGGCTAACCCAGTGACTTTTTTTTTTAATACTGTAATTCCGGTATCTTTACTTCCAATATAACACTCTTGGTATGTCAAACATATAATGCTGACAAGTTATTATTCCTTGATCACTTTGCAAGTGGTCAAGGAATTACAATTATCAATCAAGTGCAGTAATTTGAGTCCAGTAATAATGCCGAGCTTCACTGATTGTATATTTTACTTTTTAAGGGCAAATTCAATTTAAATAAATTAAACCCTAGTGTTCACTACACTTACTATATGCTTTCATTGCCTAATCAATATTTATATGTAGTCCAATAAAACATGTTAAATTTTCAGAAATTAAAGAATTGTTATTCCACAGCATCAGTGTGCCAAATACAGTACGTTTTTCAGAACGTGCACAATTTTTTAAAAATCCCCACTAACTAGTTTCTGGACAAAACAATAATGCACAAATCTAACCATTTCTGCCCATCCTCCCTACAGGTGTTGGCGAGGTTGCCGCTTGTCTCAATCTAAACTTGTTGGCCTTATGAATTTTTCCAGTCAAAGTGCAAATCAAAATAACCTCTTTGACAAGGGCCATCTATTTACTCTTCCCACCTATCCTTTCTCCTTCTACCCCTCCAGACCCTTTTCATCTCTGCTATGTTTTTTCTCGTATTATCCCTTGTGCTCCTCTTCACTTTCCTTTCCCTCAGCCCAAGTCTCGTGTCCTCCTCCAACTTTTCCACACAAGAAGTTTTTAAGATTTATAAGGAAAGGAGGAGTGAGGTTAGTTTAACAGACACCATAGCAATAGTAACGGCTTACACCTTTTCCATTTGTTGACATTGCAGTAGATTGGTACCCGGGACTTATTGTACTGTTGTGCATGCATCCTAGGGAAGGCGTGTCATTGATTACAAAACCCTTTTTTAAGCCTAACAGCCTGTCTCAACAAGAAAATAATTACCAAATCTTTACATTTAAAACCTTGTAAAGAAAAAGGATGTACTCTACAATAACATTATTCTTCTGAAGCAATACCTAAGCAGTTCAAAAAAAAAAAAAAAAAATAAAATAAAAAATAAAAGTCGCAATCCAGACCGTTCCCTAGCAACAGGGTATAGGAGTATAGAAAGTTTGGGGGTTACATATTCACTGCAGCAATATTGCTCAAGTCATACTTCCCTAACAAAAGTTTAAATTGGTTCTTAAAATAGTCACTAGAGGAAGTGAAGAGGGTATACATTACAATTTCATTGAGAAGCATCCTTTTACCAGACTTAGAACTCTCCTTCCCTCAGTTCATCTTAATCTCAGCATCAGTGGATGTTAACCCAAATAATTGCTGCACAATATCTTGAGGTTATCTCGAGATGATTTCGAGGCTTTTTAGTGTCCCCGCGGCCCGGTCCTCAACCAGGCCTCCACCCCCAGGAAGCAGCCCGTGACAGCTGACACCCAGGTACCTATTTTACTGCTAGGTAACAGGGGCATAGGGTGAAAGAAACTCTGCCCATTGTTTCTCGCCGGCGCCTGGGATCGAACCCAGGACCACAGGTCCAGTGTGCTGTCCGCTCGGCCGACCGGCTCCCAGTCGGCCGACAAACCAACACTCGCTGAATGTTTTCAACAAATGCATATTAAATTTACAAAAAAAATTATCTTGGCAATAAAACCATATTTTTATATCTTTTTTTTTTATTTGCATGTGGTGAATATTTATAATTACTGTACATAGTCCCCCTGCTCATCAAGCCTGTTGTGCAGTGAGTCAGGTTTATCACAGTTCAGTGTACTGTACAGGTATTCCATATATATAAAAATGTGACAGGTACATGAAAATATAGCAAGATACAGCAGTCGGAATTATAAATGTAATGAAAGAAATACTCCAGAATTTAATCGTTCCCAATCATGAATCGCTAATTCAACACCCATAAACTTATAACTCGTGAAGCTACTTTAAAACATTTTAATTTATATAGAACATTACTAAATAAGCCTTCTTGTCTATGCCATATTTGCCTGGACAAGGGCACACTTTCAAGGAATGACAGTACCGTATTAGCTTCGGTTAACCTGCAAAGCACAGAATTCTTAAATACATATCAAATCTTTATACAAATACAGTAATGACAAATAGTGCTATATATATTTGTTTTTTGTTACAAAAGTTTGAGCAACTATTATTTAAAATAAAACATTCTATTTAGAACAAAACATTAATGGAGATAAGGAAAAGATGTCAGTTATAGTGATGTCACCTGGTTTCAGTCATTACTACATAGGGCCATATCAGGGGCTAGAAAAAATGTATCAAAGTGGCAATTTAAAATTAATTTCAGCCACCAAATATAAAACCTCTATAAAAATTTATGTACAATGTTCAAACTCATAGGCAGCTACATTGATTTCACAGAACAGAGGTCTGTGTAAAGTGGCTGTATACCAAAACAAAGCAGCTGTAGCAACTCTAAAGTCCTTCATATTTGAGCATTTACGAATCCTAAAGTTGTTTAAAAACACAAGAATAAACTGTGGAAGACCTATTGGTCCATAGGAGACAGCTTCTATTTATACCCCCCAAACTCGCTCACATGTGTCTAACCTTCACTTTAAACCAATTGTCTAGCTGATGTATCGTAACTTATTATTACCTTGGCTCTAAACTCTATATTTGTTAGCATTAAACCATCTTTCTTCCATTTTACAAGTACCCTGTGTATCTAAATTGTCTTTTAGCAATTTTCAGTCTCCTGAATTTATTTCACACCCTAATTTTGAATAGTCTGCAAATAATACTGTTCAATCACGTGTGTCCAAATTTATATATATATTAAAACAACCATTTATTTGATTTATTGTTTCCATTGAAATAATGTCCTAAACCAACTTAAGATAACCTCCCAAAGTCAAGGTATATAATGTTGCAATCCTTCCCACTACCGAAAGCTTGAATAATGCTGGAAAAGAATGAGCAAAAATTGAGTGGCCCTTAGTAGTTTCCATGTACCTTTTCATGCATTAATGAACATTTCCAACTTTTTCCAATAACAGTGTATATTGCAACCCAACCTCCTGTTTTGGTAGTACTTATAGTAACAATGAGGACCATAGTATATATACCAAGGTACAACAAAATTAATCAGTATTAATCTGAACTATTTTGTTTGACAAACTGGGAACCTATTTTTTTTTACTTGTGTTGCTTTGACAAACAAAATTAACCTTCCTAGGCCTAATATATGATATCCGAGGCCTAATATATTACACGTGCGCTATACTAGGTCTAGGAATATTTAAGCTTGTTTTTAGATGCATTTATTTTAAAAGAATTCATTAGAAGTCAGTATACTACTACTACTACTACTGTGTCTAAAAGCTAAGTACGTACAAATTCGTGACTATTGACGACCGTCACAATACGGACTAAACAGGAGAATGAGTCGATATACCAGTATGATTTAGTTTTAGTTTAAGGCAACAGTTGTCAATTCTAGCAAGGCTAGATATTCGCATTTAATAGCATAAAATATAGAATAGTAAAGAGTGCAGTTGCAACAAGTGCCTTGAACATTTGTAGATCCTAAAAGTATTCATATTTGCATCAGGTTATCACTTGTGAGCTGCATTCCATAAATGAAGCTTTTATATTTAAATTTAAAGAAATACTGTACAGTATATGGAATTTAAAATTAATTTATCACTATTATAAATAGTTAAAATCTATATAGGTCTTTAGTTCTAATCAGACACTACATGCAGTATTTTATCATATGGGTACTTTTAGTGTGCCTTAAGCATGTGACTTGGCAGTTACAGGTTTAAACTGCTCTAAGTGAAGAAGCATCATTATAGACAATAACAATTAACAAAGTGGAAACAAGTTTTTTTTCCCCCTAAAGAATTCCAAACTTATAAAATAAGTGTGTAGGTTAAACGGACTACTGGTACCTTCTACCAAACCTTGTAGCTGTAGTCAAGTGTTTCGAGGGCACTTTTCTGAAAACAAAAAATCTAAATTATAATTTAAAATTCTTAATGTAATATATAAAGAATAATTTGACCGAGACATGAATTTTGCTGAAGCTTGGGGAATGGCATTTGATATACAGCGCTCCATTCATTACCATGCAGTCAATATTCCCAAGGCAGCATCACAACAATATTCAATAACTAAACTAAGAACCATTCTCACAAATTTAAAGTGTTAAAACCGTCTTGCAAGTGGAATTAGCAATTTTACAAGTCTGGTCTCATTTACTTTAAACCCTTTTATGTTAAAGGGTCTACCTGACAATTTGAAAAGTTGCTACTTTCATTTTATAAGTAGTTTAACCCGTGTTAACAAATGAACAAGTTTCACATGCTGTGGAAAGTAATGATAGTAATTTTTTTTCTAGCATGCATTATCATACAGTATGTATATATGCCTTTTGGTCGGTCTGTTTCCCCTAAAACTTTTACTTATCTAAGAATTTTTAATCACTGGACAATTTGCTTAATTCTCCAGGTTGGTTATAATAACCAACCTAAAGTGTGACAGCTGTTTCCTTGTGCAGTATGTACAGTGTTTATGTACAACTCCTGCAATACCTGTCGGTGATCTTATCTGTGCTGATGGGACTTCAGAGCCCTGAGAAAAGACCTTTTTGTGCTCCAAATCAGAAAGCTCAATTGATTAAATGACAACCAATGAAACTGTGGTCCCTTTATCTGCAAAAGTGGTACATTCCTGAACATCCATGTGCCAAGTGAATTCAATCACAGATCATAACAGAGTAATGTCAAAATTCCATTACTGTATTTGGGAGAACTTTGTACCAAATGTATATCAAGTTTAAATCAAATTTATGGACAAGTTTCCAAAATTTATGATTTGAAGGCAAACCTGGATAAAGGGGTAATGGGCAGTATATTTTCCATTATCCGAACAAGCACTTTGTGGTGAGGTGACAGGGATGCCCATCTGTTTACAAGCAGGTAGAATTACTGGTTTGGGCCCTATCCCATGGTTAGGTTGCAGCCCTACCTCATCTTATTGTTAGTCTAATTATTAGGCTTCAGTGTAATGCTACACTTTTGGATGCACTGGCTTGTTCTGACTCTAGACTGTTTAGTACATCACCTGGGTCCTTTCTTCTCCTGCTTGAAGCCGACGTTCTGAGACCCTCGTGGAATACCTTCCGTGTAGGGCCCTGGGTTCACCCCTCCACCGCCCCTCAATGGCCCTGCCTGGAGCCGTCTCCTACTTCGGTAAGACACCTTTCAATGATTTTTCTATTAGGTTTTTTCCCATTCAAATGGAGGCCTCCATGGGGAAAACACTGAAGGAAGTTTGCTCATCAAGATAATTGAAACACTCCATCCTGAACAGAACCTCTGTTTGCTCCTGTTCTTGCCACTTTGATCCTGGTTTTCCTGAGCATGTTAGAATGTCTTAGTATTTTAGTGCAGTTGGGCAGTGGCTAGTTCTTGATAGCTGAACAATGGCTTTCTTTACAATTTCAATTATCACCGAATTTTGAAGAGGTTCACTCTTCTCTTCGGTGTTATAGCAAGCACTCTTCCTGATGGATCGAGATATTTTTCCATCTCCTTGCCAATAAACAACCTGGCAAGACCATTTTCACAGTTTCTGGTCACAATTTGAGCAAGCGTTCATGAGTGCTTAGCATGTAAGCAGCATCCCAAGTGGAGTCTCGGCCATGGCTAGGTGATCAACCAAGACGCACTCAGAACAGAACATTGACACATCTAACAAGTTTTTGCATATATACTTTTAGACATAAATGGCAACTTCATTGCATGGTAACATTGGGAGCATTCTGCCTGTGAAGACAGTTGAGGTTTGGGAAGCACATAAAAAATGTTAATACTAGGTCCTGGTATTAGTTCATATAAAAAAAATCTTTCCTCCTCACTATGCCTCAAAAAAACCATGCAAGCTATTCAGTAACGTAAAAGATGCAGATGGTAATTTTTAAAGAAAGTTATTTAACCCCACAAGGCATCCATCACTCAGGATAATACAGTACTATAAATATCAGAAATGTTTAGTGAATACAATTTTGATGCAATTGGTTTTAAGTGATTGATCAGATTTGGGATGCAGCATAAAATTGAGATCAGTTTTTTTTATACGTTCAAACCTCAACCTGCATATACTGTACAGTATTTGAACAATGTATGAGTAGAGCAGAAAATAATATGGGCAAAGTAACCACACACACTCCCCAGCTCTTTCTGGCTTCATACAGTGATTGGACAGCATGGCACCAATAGCATCTTTTTTTTTTAAATGCACAAGACTACAGATGTAATGTACCGTATTTTAATACCTATACAGCCTTTCCACTACTACTACACAATACAGCATATATACTGCAACAAAATAAATCAAATTTAATTTTAATCCATACATAAGGCATTCATTTACAGTACCTACAGAGAAAATCTAGCACATTACTTTAAAAGTTTGAGAGACATGTTTATACTTACGGATATGCACATAAGAGGTCTCAAGATGCAGCTGCTTATTCATAAAGCTTGATAAAATTTTTGTGGAACTCTCGGAACTTTTCAAGCATAGTTTTGAGCATCTCGGGCTGGGGTAGAATAGTGGTCCTGACAAGAGAAATAATGTTCAGTAGAAAATTAGTACACAAAAAATATACTATAAATGATAATTTAATCCATAACTAGAGTAGATTTTTTTTATTGCTGATCGAGCAAGGTATCCATAGGCTGTCATACCAGAATATAAAAATATATGAAAATGTGGTATAATGTGTACAAGGGGATGCAATGATTATGGTAACGATTAGTTACCGATACATTGGTACACTTCTATCTAGTTCTGCGCAGTATCTAAAATTTCATTTGATATTTCAATACTGTACTTCCACCCATACCCCCTCCCCCCAAGAGATGGATACAGGATGTGATGACTACTCCTGTAGCATATCTTCAGCTTACCCTGCCAGTTTTCCATGGAACATTAGCTGCCAATTGGCTTAAAACCAGCTCCCTAATAACTGCCGAGTGAACATTAAAAGACCAGTGGCCTTTAGCCATCTCCTATCTTAATTACTGTGCTTGATATATTTCAAGCAAACACATCCTTCTCTTCTAAGTGGGATGAGACATGGAGAAGACTAAAGAAATAATAACTCTCCTTAATGTGACACGAGGTATTTGTGGCATGATTTAAACTTATAAAATTCAGGGAAACTGATAAGGCAGACAAACATTATTTGGAATGTGTGGTAATGAACAAAGGGGTGGACAGATGGAAACTAAAATATCCAAACGAGCCACAGATCTCGAAAATAATTTGTTCTATTTCTTTTTTCATTACTGTATAGACATGTATATTTATCAAGTCTAACTGATGAACACCTGTTGTATGGACACTGCATGTATGCAGCCATACCTGCAGCAGTATGCAGGTATGTATACTGTACTAGCATTGTAATATAATATAGCAATAAATATTGCTATATTTATGCATTGCTATACTAGCAATGCATAAATTTTGCACTGTTATAAATTAATGAATTCTTATATTATCATTACTTTATGTTGAGAATGCTGTAAAGAAACTTCTTATTTAAAACACACTATTAAATTATTTCAAATATAGCTGTATATGTGAAACCATCTCCAAAAGTCAAATGTTAAAAAAAAAATTGCTTGAAAAGTTAAGACTGCATTGTAATTTCACATCTCACATCATCGTGGCTCAAGTGGGGTAAAGTAGCTGATCATGACAGGTGTTTTATTAACCTCTAAAGCATACAGCATACATCTGAACAATTGCCATTAAATTAAAAAGGACTTTGACAGTAAAATCTCAGATTATTCTGGTATTGAACTTCTTTCCAAACACATAAGTAGTCTTATTATGTTCAAACTTAATGCCTGTGTATGCCAACTTAGAAGAAATAGAAAAATTGTTTTAGCTTTGTAACAAACAATTACTGACCTGAAATGGTATGTTCCTGGGCGCTGTCCAAACCCACTGCCTGGAATAATACATATGCCAGTGTTTTCAAGCAACTGGAATGCATAGAACACATCTGGTGCTTGACCTGCAGCTTTTGCAGCTTCTATAGCTCTCTCTGGCAACATGATCTACAAAGAAATATGTTATGATAAAATATCTGGGATTTTAACAATCATTATCACAGTTCCCACTTTCATGTGGCAAGAACACATCAATATGTTTTATTTTTAAAATAGTAAAAGAAGGTTTTAGTTATTAAGTAATATTGTTTAATAGTCCTCTTCATTAGTTCTTCCACTGCAGTTCACATTCCCTCTATGTTCTGTAGAGATTCCCTCTGGCTCCTTGGAGCTTACCGGGCTGATATGCATGTATTAGACTGTGGCAATCCTTCAAATGGAGTTCTAGTGCCTACCGGGGACCACGAGCTAGGACCTGGTCCCCTCAGAGAGGCACGAGGAGCAATAACTTAAGACACCACCCCCCTCCCTGTGGTTGGAAGCATTCCATGTCTGTCATCGACTGGATTAGGCACTCAGAAAGGTAGGTGTCCCAAAACAGACTTCAGCTGGTGAAACATTGCTATCCCCATCACCTCCACCCATTAGACTTTAAAAAAAGGTGGAGAAAATACTTTTCACTTCCCTAACTATTTAACGTTCTTCTACATACCTTAAAATTTCCATTTACCTGTCCACAAGTTACCCTACTAAACTTACTTCCTTTGCAAAGAGAGATTCCTTTTTTCTAAATTACTTTTAATTTTTATCCCTGGCCCCTCATAATTTTTCTGGTAAATCTTTTTCCATACCTTTAACTCTGATCCCATTCCCATTATTATTGTTGTTTCACTTCTGTTAACTTTATACAAACAAAATCTTAATTTTTTTTTTCAACTACTCTTTCACCACCACCACCTGTCACTAAGTACTTCCTCTCCAGAAGGAGATTCCAATGAGGCAGTAGGAAAAGGGCCCAGGTCAAATTACCAACAGGAGCTGCCAGTGTTAGCATCCGGAATATTCACAAGGGGGGTCAAGCAGGAAGCAATTTGTCTAATTATCACGGAACATGACTCATCAGGTACAAAGCTAACACTTTACTTCGGTTAACAAGATGCTGTAGAAGAACTTTTAATTAAATCATGGGCTTGGCTACCCATCAAAATATGGGTTTGGAGATGAAGAGATAAGGCATGCGAAATATAAACAGCATATACAACATCCCTACATTCACAACCAACTCATGAAGGAATATTAAAAACCCTAGAAATAGTAAAAGACAAAGATAAGTCACTACCCAAGTGCCTGATGGCACTCCAGGGACCAAAGAGATATCTACCAGGTACTTCTCAATGCTCATTTGATCCATAACCTTTGTCAATAGACAAGCCAGTCAATTCGTTCCAGCTGCACTGAATCTCTTGTTTTACCCCACACACACACACACACACACCCAAGCAGCAAGTTGCCCCCCTCCACCCCCATACAAGGTTGCAGAATCTGGGTAGATCACTTCCAACAGGAAGAGGCATGCACAAGAAATATATACAATTAAAATGCAGAATGTGAAAATGAACCAAGCCAACAAGTTGTGCTGGCAAATTTATGTAGCTGAAAACTGACGAGTACATAAATGTATTATCTGCTGAAGGAAACAAATGTAGCCAAAGTTATGCTCTGCTGCAAGGCATGTTCCCTGGTACAGGTAAGCCAAAATTGATAGCAATCAATGTATGAAAAAAATGTATGAAATAAATTTGGCAGCAAAAGAATTAATGAAAAAATGAGTCACTAAGCTAATGACACTAATTATATCTTGGTAAAGGGACATTCCTAAACAGTAAAAATACTGTACTTTAATTATACTGTACATATATATAAAAAAGGGATCATATTGCATGCTAGTATTTTCTACTCTAATACAATCAGCTACAATAAGATCAGTTTACAAACCATAACCAGTAGAGGCTCTTAAATGAACAGAGCGAGTTTTGGAGACCATGTATTTTAACAGGCATCCCCAATACACCTTGCATAACTACTTTATAAACTATGTTCTTTACCTGTGGGAATGCATACATGGCTCCTTGAACAATATTGCACGACATTCCTGGAACAGAATTAAAGGTTTCTACAATCATCTTCGCCCGAAGAGCAAGAGACGAGAGAACCTCATTTTTCTCTTCCATGAATTGGTCATATGAAGGCTCTCCCTCCTGGGGTGGATTCACAACACACTCCATTACAGCCTGAAAATATTAAATTTAATTAAATATATTGTCCAGTGCAAAACAGAAGACTCTTTAAACCTACCAGTCACTCGGTTATATTTTATATCTATTTTAATGATGTGAAATGTTTAACTATACAGTTTCTTTAAGGGTGATCAAGACTAACATCTATACATAGTAATGCTGTACCTGTTGAAATTAAATTCCACAATACTTACTTTATAGAATACACTAACAATACCTTGTGACTTACCTGGCCAAGGGTTGTTGGGCATAGCTTGGCAGAGATGCTTTTGAGGTACATTGCCTTAACTTGTGGGTCTACATTTATGAGCTCAGCATAGCCTCCCCTCAAACCACACTCACCCATGTATCCTGAAAGACATTTTTCATGCATATGGAATCAAAAATAATATGCAACACTGGTCATGGAAAATAATAATACGTTCTTTGTTGTACTATGCACATCATTTGTAATGCAAGAAAAAATGATGCAGTATTTTCCATTAAAAATCAACTACTAAACGAAATGACCAGCTTAAAACTTTTAAAGCTCATCCAAATGAGATTTAAGATATCAATACTTTAAGGAAATACTTTACATGTTCAAGCTTTGAAAATGCCAGAACAAAATCTTAAACCTGTAATTTCTTCACCCACTTCATACAATGGTGGAATTTAACAGATTTCATTGCAACTTTTATTAAGGAAGCATGCACACGGCATGATCCATGAAACCTGTACTCTAATCCACATGAAGCAGCAAATATATTCCAAACCATATACAATATACTACCATCAGAAATAAAACAGATTCAAAAAGAGTATATTTGACTAGGTTAAGGCAACCATTACTATTTAAATTTGTGCAAATGAGTAACTGCAGAAAACTCTATGGTTTTATAGATCATATGGAAATTATTGTATTATTTAGTGTACAATAACTATTCAATGATTTCCCAAATAAGTCCTATAATAAATGATAGTGCATTTCATAAAAGACATTTCTATCTCCTTGTATTCACGCAACTTTAAACATCTGGAGCAAGTTTCTGCAAACCCAACATGAAAAATCTCTTCACGCTGACCACTAGACTTCAATGTGTGTGTGCGCAGGTTTATGTTACTTGCATTCAAGTTCTTCAAACCAACTATTAAAGTGCTAGTGTTATGTATTATTGGTCTGAATAAAGCTAACTTATGGATCCACACAATCCCCCTCACATGTACCCAACATACCTCTACTGCCCCACCTGTCCCCAGCCCCTATTCTCCAGCGCTCACCTCACTAAAATGATGTACAGTACTAAATTGCTCGAACTTAACCTAATTGAGGACTCACAAATAGGAAATGGGGCACGTTAATATTGCGAGCTGCTATGATTTTTAGTACACTTTTTAGCCGGTGGCAATTTACTGTATACATCAAAATGCGATGTACTGGGTACTATTTGAGGGGACAGGTTGCTGTCCCACCTACCTATTACCTTGACAGAATATAGTAATTCATTGTACAGCCACTAACAATTCATTAAAAACCGTGCCAATCCTATCTTGGCACGGTTTTACAGATCAGCCCATCCTCCTGTTTTTGTAGTACTGCACTTTTAGTAACGACGAGGACCATAGTATATATATTGACGTACAACAAAATTAGAAAGCAAAAATCTGAACTACTGAGTTGGACAAACTGGGAAAATTTTTTTTTTACTTCTGTTACTTTGATAAACTAAACTAACCTAACCTTCCTAGGCCTAATGCACAATATCTGAGGCCTAATACTGTACATGTGTGTGCTACACTAGGCCTAAGAATATTTAAGTATTTTTTAGCTTCATTTATTTTAAAAGAATTCCTTACTGGTCAGTATACTATTAATAAAAGCTAAGTACGTACGAATTCGTCGTGACTTGACGACAATCGCAATAGGTAATATATAAAGAGGAGGACGAGTTGAACAGATTGCTTGCTCTGTCAAATATACATGTTATATTTATACTACTTTTCAACTTTACAGTAAAGTTGAATAAATAATATATAGCATGTAAAAGAGCAAACGTTAATCAAGATACATACTGACAACAAAATTAGGTTACTTGTTGTACAAGATTTTGGTTTAAAACATGACCCAGGATGGGTTAATCATTTCAACATCTCTTCTTGGATAGGAAGAGCTTTAATTACCTTTTGAGCAGGACATGAAAGAAGCGAGTTCCATTGTGTCATATGGAGCACCCATTTCCATTATAACCTTCTTGAAGGAATGAAATTTACAACCCTCTGCATATACATTGTCTTGGTACACCTGTAACAAACAAATCAGAACCATGCTTAATATGCAGCTGTATAAACTGTTGAAGTCTATATATAATCAAGTATATGTATGAAATATACAGTATATCTTTCTCCCTTTTGTATAATTATTATAAAGTTTCAAACACGTACCTGGGAGTTTATTAACTCATGGGTTACAGTTCGGGATAGGTTAGTTAACACCATTACACCCAATACCCACCATCTCAAAACTTTCCTTTTTTAAAAAGATTTTACTAATTTGAATTTCCATCCTTAATTTGTTCTTTCACATTGTCATACCACCACCTTACAATCCTGCCCATGCTTCCTAGTACCTTACTAGGTGTGGGCCCCAGATTACAGTATTCTGACCTTTAGTGAGAAATTTTTGGAAGGGTGCCCAGCCCAATCTCTATACAGTATATTAGAGAAAACACTTGTTTGGTATAATGCATTGTATAGCCAAATTCATTCTCACCTCATCGGCAAAAAGGAAGAGGTTCTTCTCATGGGCAAATTTAACAATGCCTTGAATATTCTTTTCACTGAGTACATTTCCTGTAAAGTCAAAGGAAAAGGTTACATGGGGCCTGTAGAAGTAAAAGCATAATAAATTTAAGTGTAAATTACATAATTTTTTTTTTAGTAGATCCAACTGCTCCCTAAAGTAATATATTATTATATCTTGGACAAGAGTGAGCAATTGAACACTGGCTCCAGCACCATCTGAAACACTAAGAGAACAATTTCATTTGGCAGGTCAAATCAGACTCCAGAACACTTATAAATATGCCACTCTAGACTTGCTAATTACCATTTGGCCAACCTGGTCACCTACACTGACCACTAACAGGAGGCAGCACAACTGTCCCCAAGCTTGGCTACCTTGGTATAACCTATGGTTTTTAGTGTTATTACCATAGGATGGCACAAGATATTCCAATATAGTATCCAGGTTTTCATGCAATTAAATCTATTTCAAATGCAAAGTGGGTCATAAAGTACCGTACATTGCCTATACAGTATATTAAAAGTACTGTACAGTATAAACAAAGCAGTATAACTTTTCCAAGTGTGACTGAGGTTATCACACATCGGTCAGCGTTAGAGCAACTACAAGAAGTATGTACACTGTATGAAATAAAGCGATTTTTATTACCCTTCTGGGTGTGCATGTTAGAACACACAATATCTAGGGAGAGTAGGGGGGAGGAGGTGAACATGAATGCAAGGAGAGTAGAGCCCTTATTGGTGATTAGTAGTAGTATTGTGCAGTATTCAATGATTGACCCAAGGACGTATTCAAGTTTTGTCTGCCATTGAAGGAGCCATTGACATGACTAGAATCTTACAACAATTTTAGACTAATAGACCACAACTCATTATTCTCTTGGTTATAATGACTAAGCATACATAACTGCTTACTAGGTCAGCTATGACTTATTGTGTAATAAGATTTATTATCCAAGAAATAAGCATTATGATTGTATAGCCAGTAAGAGAATAATGGTTGTATTCCATGAAAGAGCAAGAGAAAACACCATTAATCCCAATGAGATTACTATCTTGGTAAAGAAGTTTACAGTACACACAAATTATTGCATGCATATATATGCATATATATATATATATGCATATATATATATATATATGCATATATATATATATATATATGCATATATATATATATATATATATATATATGCATATATATATATATATATATATATATATATATATATATATATATATATATATATATATGCATATATATATATATATATATATGCATATATATATGCATATATATATATATATATATATATATATATATATATGCATATATATGCATATATATATATATATATATATATATATATGCATATATATGCATATATATGCATATATATGCATATATATATATATATATATATATATATATATATATATATATATATATATATATATATATATATGCATATATATATATATATATATATATATATATATATATATATATATATATATATATATATATATATATGCATATATATGCATATATATGCATATATATGCATATATATATATATATATATATATATATATATATATGCATATATATATATATATATATATATATGCATATATATATATATATATATATATATATATATATATATATATATATATATATATATATATATATATATATATATATATATATATATATATATATATATATATATATATATATATATATATATATATATATATATATATATATATATATATATATATATATATATATATATATATATATATATATATATATATATATATATATATATATATATATATATATATATATATATATATATATATATATATATATATATATATATATATATATATATATATATATATATATATATATATATATATATATATATATATATATATATATATATATATATATATATATATATATATATATATATATATATATATTCATTTATTTTTTTCAAAATAATAGTGACTACTTAGCCATCTACTGATGCTTCAAAAGACCAATAGTAATCATTAGTACACTGTATTGAACAGAATGATAACTCATTTTGAATTAATCTAGTAATAGTGAACATGCAACAAGTCTGGAAGCAAACGTGCCCAGCTTGGAACAAGCATCCATTATCCCCTTTGCCCCCTCACATCTTTCATGCATATGAAACACGAAAGAGAGATGTTCATAGGATTAAATACCATCTACAACTTAGGCCCAGATATGACTTAAGAAGCCAAGGGCAAGTCTCACCAGATACCCGACAGCTGAACCTCACTCCCTGAATACTAGTACCACCACCAAGTGCACACAGGTAAGCCCATCTGACTACTCCTTTAAATAATATCAATAAGATTGAAACTGTAAATAATCAAGTTTTATTTAAAAAATGAGCTAAACTCGAATTTTTGTTAATACTTCTTAATTACAGGTATATTTAAAAGAAATCTTAACCAAGTGTTGATTTAAAGCTCCTCTCTTTTTAAATACGAAATATTAGGACAAAAAAGCATGCAAATACTGTACAGTATGGAATAGTAGCCAACCTGTTGGGTTGCCGGGATTAATAACGACCAAAATCTTTGGACTGCTCACTTCCTTCGCTTCCTCATATGCACGCTCCAGCTCGGAAATATCAAGCCCCCAGTTAGTGGACTCGTTAAGGTAATAACCAATCTGTAAAGTAGGATAAAAAAATTATGATTTGTTTACATTTTTTAAAGCACGACTAAACTTTTTATATTTAGAGCCTCTTTTTGTCATATGTCTACTGTTTAGAGAAGCACATACCTGGTGGAGATCAAATTCAGCAATGGTTGCAGAGTAGAGTGGGTACTGGGGGATGGGGATCATTACTCCTGGCTTAATGCTATTGTCATGCTTGATCATCATCTTCATTATTCCCTGGAGAGACCAATAAATAAACTTTAGATACCACCTAAGAAATAACATGTATGTGTATACAAGTGTATTTGCACAGTAGGCATTGTGCATGAGTAATGCATTATATATTCTTGCATGCATGTGAAAGATTAATTTTAATTTGCCTTTTCTAAAGGAATTTGGCAATAGCCAAAAAATGAGAAGTTATTCACAAATCCAGAGCGGTTCCAAAATTTAATGATCTGGATTCTGGATGTGCCACTGCACATAATCTGATGCAGTGCACAAAAATTTTTGAAGAAAAGCTATTATGGTAATTAGGCAACTACATTTAATTACATAAAACAGTTTAAGGGAAGGGAACTATCAGGAGAAATTGCCAAGCCATTTCACCTAAATACATGTATAGCAATTTGAAGGGATCAAGATAGGAATTTGGGATGGGAGGAAGGAATGGTGTCCAACCACTTTGACAATCGAAGATTGAACGCCAACCTGCATGAAATGAGACCATTGCTCTACCCTCTAGCCTAAGCAGTTGGGCAAAAAACTAAATTTATGGAAAGGAATATTTAAAGAAATTAGCCGAAAGATGAAACGTATACAAACCCTGATTCCTTCAGAGGCACCAGCACAAAGGATAATATCTTCCCAATTTGAGGGAAACCCATCTCGTTTTGCAATATATTGTGCAACGTGGTGCCGGATGATCTCTATTCCAGCAGAGTCACTGTAGGAGCCGAGAGAGCTGCCCTTACAACCATCCAGTATCCCACGAGCACGCGCCTTAGCATCGGAGGGAATGCTGGGGTCATCCATGAGAGATGGCATTAAGCACAAAGATACCACCTGCAAGAAATCATGATTAATTTATCATACAGTATTTGCAAAACAAAAAGCAAAATTCAATAGATGAAACTTACCAAGTGCAGTATAATGCAGTAATATTTTATTATTATTAACCCCTTGGCAGCCAACAATGTTCTTAAGTATTATATGGTAGATTAATAATTACCTTCACTAGTTCTGTTTATAAAAAAAACCTAATGCTTACAGTTATAATAACCTCAAAATGTTTATGGAAAGACGTGTTTAACTATTAGGACCTAAAACCTGTCACGCCATGAACATTATGACATCGCACACCTCATCCACACCATATGTAAAGCAAAATTTTATATTTGTTTTGAATAAAATTAGGTTAGGTTAAAGAGCAGTGATGAAATAGCAGACACATACTTTTCTCAGGTCTTAGACAATATACTCTATTTAATTGAGATACGTTCTGTATTAAAATTCAGCAGTTTAACCCTCTGGCTGCAAACACCATGGCTGCAAACACCATTTCTTAAGCCCTATCTACCTAGAGCTGAAATGCATCCTCCACCTGCTCTTTCCAACTGTAGTGAAAAAAATTATACAATAAGTTCTTGGTACAGTAGCTAGTTTTTTATCTACACTGTGTAGATAGAATTTCATATAAGGTAGCAGCCCATTGCTGTGTATACCTAAGCTTGTTAATAATAATAATAATAATAATTAAAAAATTATTGGTTTCATCACTATTTTCTAGCTGTTGTTGTTGTTAAAGATTCGCTACCTGGAACAAAGTTCTAAGTAGCACGGGCTATGGATTTTCTAGCTGAAAATATAGTTCAAATGTCCTATAATTTATGTGGATGGAGTGCAACAGAACATTTAGTATACTATCCATGCACTATCTACTGTAGGCAAACTAGATACACTGCAACAATTTTTAATTCATATTTTTCGATAAAAAAATTTGAATATGGTTTTTCTCTTATTTTTGTTCACATTTCATCCCTTATAATAATGCATAGTTTACATGTGGTAAGGTCTGCATCTGCAGGTAGTGCAAACTTAGAGGAAATGAAAGTGAACAAAAGGATCCTTAGTAGGAAAGAAAAAAAATATCGCCTTGGATAAATGTTCCCAGAGTGGCTGTGACGTCACGGTTGCCATGACAACCAGGTCCAGAGGCACCCAAGCGGCCGCCAGCCCCTCTCACACACCCACAAAACGTTCAACTCCAAACGTTTCCATTCTGGACACTAACATATAAAACAGATGAATAAACAGCCTCCATATATTACAAAAGTGATTGACAACGTTTTTAATGTTTGGGGTTATGCTTATTTTGTTTTTTTACCAGCCATACTAGTGTGGCGTTTAAGTTACAGGTAATAATTAAGCTCCTTTAAATTTAAGATAGAAGACTGTGAAATGTTTCGAGCTACATAAGCAGCCAACGAACTTAGTTCATTTATTATAACAAAACTAAGACGTTACATATAATGCCGTTTAAATATGATGCATTTATTTCTTATCCATTTAAGTAACCATAACCTGCTATAACCTTAAAAAAAGTGGAATTTCAATTGCGTATCAGTGCAACGCTCCGCGATTGTGGAAAATGTATCTCCAAGCGCGGCGCCTATTGGCTGGTAATGTGGGTGTGTGGCGTCAATGAATGCAAGGCGAGCGCTTATTGGTCCCGGCCGTTCTTCCCGCCCTCACAGCGACGCTATCATTGGTTGGAAACGTGGGTGTGTCATGGCGCGCTTTGAACAGGCTTCCCCCCCCCCCCCCCCCCCCCCCTTTACTATTTACCCCCCCATTTACTATTTAACGAGCTTGGGTACAGGCCAGACCAGAGAGAAGGGAGGTCATGCGGGTCACTTTATTGGCCTACGATTTAAGAGCGGGGGCCAACATCAGAATATAGATAACTGCAGAAGGCCTATTGGCATAGCCCTGCTCCTGTGCCAGGTAAGTCCACTACGGGCTCACCATAGCCCGTGCTACTTGGAACTTTTGTCCTGAGTAGCTGAATCTAAAACGTGAACGTGGCCTATTGACCCATACGAGGCAGCTCCTATCCCAACTACAATACATTTTTTTACCATAATCTTATTTTTTTTTATAAATCGTTATTCTTTTTTTTCTCTATTGAGTTACTTGTAAGTACATCATACTCGCTACATCTACACGTGCATAAACAATAAGTCACATGTATTTAGCACTGATTTACAAAAATACTTTAGGACACTTTAAAATGGAGCCAACATTTTCCATCTGCCCAAAGTTGGCGTCGCTCAGTGAGTACACAGCAATGATGCGTACTCACATCATTGTACCCTATTCTACATGAATGGTTAGAGGTTTTTATAGTTTCACGGAAAAAAATAATTTTTATAGCTTTACTTTTTTTAATTAAACTAATATTTCATTTAATGGCAAAACTATACAAAAACGGTATTTTAAATGTGGGGGAATGCTTAGAGAGCGATTAATGAAGCAGAAGTAATACTGGAATAGTTTCAGGGTCACGCGCTAGGACGAGACTATTAGCATCGGTGACTAGAGGAAAAGGAATGGATGTGGAAGAGGGAAAATGAGGAGACTAATGGAAAAGAAACCTAGTGAGCGTGAGAAAAGAAATTATTTCAGAAAGATGTTCTCACCTCTCACACAAGCACCGTCTCCCTGGGCCACAACGTGTAACCAAAGATCTGTAGCGCTAGTAAACGGATAACACTATCTACACAACACTTTGATAGGTGTTGCGGAAAATGGATATCAGACTAACCGACTGAGTTACGCTTACCACCCCTGTTGGACGCTCCAACAAGAAGTCAAACCAAGGAAGACCGGGCTTTGTGGCCCTATACTCTCCCTGGGGTTTTCCCTTACAGGATGGCACGCACACACACACAGAGCCTGCCTCTTATTCAGCTGCCTAGAATTGAACAATGAAATTTACGTCCATGGCAAACCACTGGGATCCAATCTGCAGGAGGCAGAATCTTCACAAGCCATCATATCCTCCTGGAAGTCAGAGCACACAATCACACCACAAATATATTGTGTTCCAAGGAAGGTGACAGGAAGAGTGGAGGCAAGAGAAAGATATGATAAAAACGTTTAGAAAAAGGGGGGAAATGAATACACATTCCTTGACACGACCGGAGAGCTTTTAGCAATACAAATCATATCTTCAACTTAATACCAATATTTTATTTCCATGAAGTTGTTGTCAGGTCATTTGTTTAAAAATAAATAATGCAAAGTCCCCAAGCTGATCAACCTTGGAGAAGCCAGTAACGGGCACCTTTAGTGTATAAGAATACACGCCGTCGCCAAAATTATGATACTTTTGGCAGTGATATGCTAGTGTATACAGGGTGCCAAAAGCATGGGGCCAGAAAGGAGCTATGCCACGCGCTCACCTGAGAGGCATCATCAACGCGCACTGATAAGGCGTCCCTCATACGCTCAGCGTCTCCTCGCCCGCAAGACTTTGTTTACCTCAACTGAGGTGTGTTAGAGCATAGTGCAGAGTACCGGACAAAACACTGGCGCCCTAAATTCTTAGCATGGTAAAAAATATGAAGGAGAGATGCTACATTAAACAACGGGTTAAAAAGGCTGAATTTGGCTCGCCTCCACACGTCCACACCGAAATCCACCAACCCTCCACACACACACAGGTACCAGAGACAAATAGGCTATGGGTGAGAGGCTTTGTGAATAAACCGAACTTTTAAAGTAGAGGCAATATGATCACACCGTACAAGATACCAAGTGCTATAGAAAAAATAGACTAACGTTTTTCTGGTGCGAGGTACAAACGAAACCAGGGGGGGGGTACAGGTGAAGTTGAAAACTAACGCATTAGACAAACACACGTACAGCAAATGGTAAAGAATTGGAATGAACTGTAACTAGAGGTGATGAAAGTGACCATTCAGTTTCAAAAGCAAGTCTATGATAAGATTGAAATGCCCAGAGGTATCACAGAACCCAGTACAATAGTCATTAAGGAGACTAAAAGCTGAATCTCTTCCTCGTGAACACAAATAGTTTACCAGGCTCGCACGTACATCAACATCCCTAATAGGCAAGCAAGTATGGGACCGACTCCTGCTGTCTTGGGCATCTGAACATATATTTTCGCACTGGGGAGAGGGAGGGGCAGACTAGCTAGCCCACCTTTACTGGAGGCAAAACCTCAAAGCCACCCACACTCTTGAACGACTTCCACGCTGCAGACCCTAACTTAACCCCCCTTCTGTTTTACTCTCCAACTGTGTAACCATGCTGGCTGGTACCAGATCCAAACAGCATTTAACCATGCTTTCTGATACCAGATCCAATCATGCTGCATGGATCTGCAGTTGATAGGCCCTAGAGCCTATCAATCGCAGGAGGATTATAAAGGTCATAAGAAATTATTAACCAATTAACAAATAGGTTATACTCTAACCCTGAACATAATTAGTTAAATTAAGGATTAATGTAAAATTAGTGTATATACACGGAGGAGGAGGGCACACCTGTACTCACCTAGTTGTGCTTGCGAGGGTCGTGCTTTGACTCAATTGACTCCCGCCACTCAATTGTCAATCAACTGGTGTACAGATTCCCAAGCCTACTGGGCTCTATCATATCTACATTTGAAACTGTGTATGGAGTCTGCCTCCACCACATCACTGCCTAATGCATGCCATCTGTTAACTACAGACGCTGAAAAAGTTCTTTCTAACGTCCCTGTGGCTTATTTGGGTATTAGGTTTCCACTCGTGTCCCCTTGTTCGCGTCCCACCCGTATTAAACAGTTTGTCTATCCACCCTGTCAATTCCTCTGAGAAGTTTATAGGTAGCGATCATGTCTCCCCTAACTCTTCTGTCTTCTAGTGTTGAGAGATTCGGTTCCAGCAATCTTTCCTTAGCTCACACTTCTCAGCTCGGGGACTAGCCTGGTGGCATACCATGAACCTTTTCTAACTTCGTTTTGTGTGACTAGATGTGGACTCCAGTATTGGTCT